CGGGCTTCACAGTCCTCTGTAACTTCGTATTCTAGGTGTATTATTAGTTTTCATTTTGTAGTAAAGTCAGATTTATACTAAATATGCTTTGTGAGGTTTTTCAGACAAAAATGTAAAAGAGAAGGGTGAAAAGAATAGTACAGCGGCCAGCAACTGAGGCATTGATGGACGAACGTGCAAATGTGGGCCGAGGCGTTGCCGAGGCACACATACGTGAGTCCATCAATGCCTCAGTGGCCAAGTGGGCGGAAATTAAAAACACAATTTTACTTTTTAAATTCAATGACGAATAACGAACCATAATTATTCACGCGCCATAATGTTCCTTTGTTTTTTTTTAATAATTTATTTGCAAGCCAGTTCGAAATTTAAATAAAACCTTGTATTAGTTACCTCCTTGGTAGCCAAGCCAAGTTTTCGAAGTAAAAGGTCATTCCATTTTTAAATTACAGGACAAATATGAGTTTACATAATAATTTGTCTGGCCGCAAAACACGACAGATATGGATTTTCATACAACTTTTGCCGGTCGCTGCCCGCATGTATCTGGTCAGTACGGCAATTTTGGTTTATCTCGAAGAAGATTGTCAAATTAATGCTCACATTTCCAAGCATGTTTGGTAAAAATTTATTTAGTAGAACTGTGCTCAGAGTTTGTAGTAAAGCTAATCCTCACGAATAAAAGTGAAGGTGTTGTTTGTTACTTTATAGTGCCATAACGGCTTAACTAATTACTATGATTTTTATTATCATTTGTACCTACTATATGCATATAAAAAAGGTATAGGTTACTTTTTATCCCGGTTTCGCGGATGAAGTTGGGGACAAAATCTAGTATATTATAATATTATTTCTAAATTAGTAATTTAAATGTGATTTAAAACAGAACCTTGCACATAAAAAATCGTATTTTATAGGTAACCGCGTTGTATTGTGTATTTATTTTTTAGTTAATAGTTTAACAATTTCAATGAGAGAAACTATGTAGACCAAATTATATATAATTATTACTACTTATTGTATGAGAAGGGCGCTCTTTGATATCAAAACTTCCTAGACGGTTTATATTGTATGTATACAAAGACCTCTGACGTTACATAACTATCTGATGACTGACGTAACGTGCCATTTAAATCATAAGTAAATAAAAATTTTGTTTAAACGTACAAGGTTGTAAACAATTTTAATATTGATATTCCTATGAAATTTTGTTCGAAAATCTAAAATCTCGGACTTACAGTATGATGGATAGTAGGCTTAGTTGGAACAGTTTTCTTTTTTATACAACTTAGAAATCTTGGAAAGTTAACTCGCCTATAGTCATTTACTTGTTCATCAGATTTGTTTCGCCCATGATACTTTGCCACTCGTGAGGACTCAGGTGTTATTCCTCTGTACCCAGTAAATTCACGCCATAACCCACCTTCAAACCGAAACACAGTTAAAGAAATCATGCCATGGTCTCTCTCTCTTCGTTCACTTTCTGCTTCATTTACTGAAGGCCGTTTCATCTTTGACATCGTTACGGCTATGAAACTTTGGAATACTTTGCTTTTAGTATCATAACCACCTTCAGTAAATTCGCCTTTCTCTCTCTCTTCGTCCACTTGATTACTGAAGGTCGTGTCCTTGAAAGGTGTCTGTTGCTTCAGCCTCTTGCAGGGCAGCTGCAATTGACAGTGCCGTAATGGCAGTTACTTGGTCCGATCATCGACTAAGTGATTGTCTGCGTGGCCTTTTCCCTCTATCTTGTCTATAATCATTAGCTTGTCCAGATTGTCGGACTGTTGACGAGCAATATGACCGAAGCATCCAAGAATCCTCCGACAGCAGACTGTCGAGAGCCTATCTTTTATACGGAGTTGCGCCAAGATAGATATATTCATACGCTTTGCTGTCCAATGAATTCGCAGCATCTTTCGCCAGCACCACATCTCACTACATCTCCTTTTTTCTTATTGTCCATGACTCGACTCCATACAAAAATATCGAGAAAATTCGCCTTTAAACGTAACTAAATAAATAAATGTAACAATAGTTTAACATAAATTTCTGAGTTTATTCGATATTCAGATTTCCGGATTGAAATTACGCGTTGGCCGATTAAGAAAATTGGAAAATTACAGTACTTCAAACACGACAAACAATAGGGAAATTGTATCTTTTTATTTCATAGCTACATATAAACTAAGATGTTACAAAAATAACCTAAAACTATACTTGAGGATATTACCCTATCTTCTATAATGAATATTCATCGGATCAATTTCTTACAATAATATATTTGTATTCGCCGTGTAGGTCTCGGTATAGAATGGACCACTTTCTTTTTCCATGGGTGTCGTAAGGGACGACTAAGGGACTGCGAGGAATGGCCAGCAGCTGCCCTCTTAAAACATCTCCAAAGCCTAATTGCAGCTACTAACCTAGCAACCAAAACGTACCAACTACTGGAAAAACTGCCCTTCTGGAGAAGGCTTATGTTCACCAGTGGACAGTTAACAGCTGATATGATGATGATGAATATACTTGTAGACTCTAATTTATTCAAAATCAAGTGGTATAATTGTAGCAACCTAACTTCGTGAGACATTTATGATAGAACTAGTCCACTAATTGAAACTCACCGAACTATAGAAAGAGCTATGCTTGGAGTCTCTCTAATTCTATAAAATTCGAAGCGAAATAATTTGCCAGAGAACTAAAATTACCGATATAGCTTACTGGATTCGGAAGATGAAGTGGCAGTGGCTAATAACTAGTGAAGCAGACATATTCTGGACTGGAAACTAGGAATTTGCAAGTGTAGTGGACGATCTGTGGCTAGGTGGAGCGACGACTTACGTAGGATGGCTGTTCCGTGGCGTGTTTTAGGAAATGCCTATATTTTGCAGTGAACAGCAGTAAGCTGATTATGATTATTATCTTATGACTACATTTCTGATTTCTGCAATCAACTCAAATGGCTTCCCATTCGTCTTCGCAGGAAGTGGCACATCCTATCTCTTTTTTTACACTATTCTTTTCCATCCTTCAACTCCCAATTACCTCAAAATGTGCTTTGAGTTTCATGTCGATTCTCAGGGTCATACATTGCGCAGTGCGAGATCCCTTCATTTAGTAATTCCTATTCATTCTTCTAAATTCTATTCCTATTCTTTCACTATCCAAGCTATCTGTCTCTAGAACTCTTTACCTCTTTTTATTAAATCAGCACAATCTCTTGCCTCGTTCAAGAGGCAGATAAGATCTTATTACCTATCTCTCTAATTTGCTTTGTTGTTTACTACGTATGATTTATCTTGATATATTTAGTATATTTATATATTTATGTGTATGTATTATTATTTATATTACATACATATGTATGTTTATGTATTGTAATCTTATTTTTATATAAATGATATTTAGAATATTATGCATTTCATTTGATTACTTTTTGTATTTACTGTGTCTGACTTGCGCCATCTACCTTTCTATCTGTACTTATCTACTATTTATGCTAGATTGTCTTGTTGTCACCTTTTGTATATGCATATTCTCTATAAATACTTCTTGTATACATCTCTATAAAGATGTGTGCAATAAAGAGTTATGATTGACATAGTCCAAAGAATCTACAAGAAGATGTGGCAGTGAGCCGGTCATATAGCTCGAACCACAAATAACTGATGGGGAAGAAAGATTTTCGTATTAATCCAATTTTTATTTTTTATTTTATTTTTTCAATTTAGTATAACTTTTATTTCTTCAGCAATCTTGACAGAAAGATAAGCAGTTCTGTCTAGATTGCTGCTAAATAACAGAATGGTGGTACATCTACATAACGTAATACTTTTTCTTCACACAAAATTTTAAAGCTATAAGCACCTACAGAGTATTATTATATCTCTGTGTTGAATGTGTGAAATAAAGATACCAAGCAATTTAATATTATATCAGGTATATATTTGTACCTAACGAAGACATAATTTAATCATGATTACCACCTATTTTAGAAATATTGACGTTTTTTTTGTTTATGATGCTTTATTATTAATTAAATGCAGGTATTTATTATTTAATTACCTGTCTTTTAATTGTTTACTAAGTACCTATGAAGGTTTAACTTTTAGTAAAACAGTAAGGATGTCTTCTGAACTCACTTATTTGGAGATGTCAATCCTTAAAATAGGTGCATTCAGAAGATATTTTTATATTTAGTCCTTAATTCTACGATTTAAAAATTCTTTTAGTCTTTTAATGTTTTCTTCTAACAAGTTTAATGATCAATATAATATCTATATAAATAAAAGTTAATTGCTGAATGTTTGTAAGCGCATCACTTCAGCATGGCTGCATCTATTTGATTAATTCTTTTTGTGATGTTTTGACAGAACAAGGCGAATGAAAGACAATCTTTGAAAAACCTTATGGAGATGAGAAGAATTTAGGTTAAAAAATCTACATATAAAAAGTGAGTGACTGAGTGAGTCAGAAGACTTTAGGGAGAACTTCAAAAATATTCACAGAATTGACAGGTTGTCGTACCGTAAAGAGTTGGTTTCATTTTTTCATTAATACACCTGTCTGGAGTTGGAGCAGGCAGCTAGTAAAACTTAAGTAGACCTCTTATAGAGATAGAGATTTTGAATTTAGGAATCTTTTCTGAACAAAAGTATTAGATATAAAAAATTACATTCCAGTAGTGTCTCAGCAATGTATGCTGAAGTCCATACGGATGGTTTTTTTATTTTGAGTGGCAGCACTATCCTCAATATACTCGCAAAAAGATGATTCTCTGGTGTGATTATTTGCCCAGAAGATTAGGTTATTATTAGTGGTTAAGTGCTAACATAGTATATATAGGTATTAAAAAAAATTACTTAATGGACGCAAAGTTTTTTAAAATAAATAAATAAAAAATAGTCTTCAATAGTAGAGATACCTAAATTAGCGAAATATTTTTATAGGTATTTGTTTACAGATAAAATACAATATATAGAGCACACCTACAGTACCTGAGTGATCCTGTAAGGAACGGCTGAGGGGAGGCGCGGGCGGCGTCGCTGCATGCTCTCCGCCGTACAGTCCACCGAACTCTTCTGCAGACGACGAGGACGCGTTGCTGCACTTCCGACCCTTGTCAGGAGTGTATTTGCTCTCACCACCAGACGGCAAAAATTTGGCGTCCGACTGATGCTCGTCCAGCAATCCTGGCACACCGAGCAGGCCACCGACTAGGTTCGGCCTCAACTCCTCCATGATCTTGGAGCCCTGTCCGCAGCCACCGCCGCCCGTGAAGTTGAGCTGCCGGCTGAAGAAGGCCGGAAAAATGTTGAACTGCTGCGGGTCCGGCAGGGCGGCCAGAGGCGGCGCGGGTGGCTCGGCGGCCCCCGCGCACGCCGCGCTCTTGAACTCCACCGTGCTGTGGCCGGCGCGCTGGCTGAGCGACCAGCGCGGCTCTCCCGCACTTCTTAGCTCGTGTTCCGTACCCTCGCCGTCGGCTCGGCCCCGACGCTCACTGACTAACCACATTATAGTGACGCGCGCTGCGCATCGGCCACGCCGCCCCGCGCGCTAATTGTTCGCGACTGCGCGAGAGGAGCGCGCGTCACCGCCCTCGGGCGAGAGTGAAACGACCTGCTCCCGCATCCCCGTAATCGATGTAATCTTTATAGGGATGCTGCGTCTCATTCATCCCCGTGCGAGTGACGCGCGAGTCGGGGGCGGAGGCGGGCCGCCGGTGGGCGGTGGCGGTTCGCGCCGTGCTGATTGGCGCCGGGCGCAGTAGGGGCGCTCGGCACCGCTCCGGGCCAGATAGGCTTTCTTTGTTTTATTGTCCCCATGGCTTCTCGTCGATCTTGCGTTTAAAGTTTATGCATTGCACCATGTTTTGTTTCACAAAACACAAATCATGTATGAAGTTCTTGAGGTAGAACGACAAACAGAGATGGGTGGATATTTGTAATGTTGAGTGTGCTTTGTGTTACTGTGGTGTTTCTAAGTTTGAGATTCGAATTATTAATATGTTAAAAGCGTAGTGGATGTACCGCTTATACTTACTATCACTGGATTCTGCCATAACCTTTTAACAACTCATTCTTAAGAGACATTGCCAACATAATTAGAAGTAGTTAAATAAGTGGTTGGGGCAGTAATTAATTTTGTCGTTAGTTTGTTGATTTTTGTTATGATATTCCAATAGTAGATAACCTAAGAATATTTATAGGTACAAATTATACTGATTAGCTTGAACAACTTAGGTACAGACACAAAAAAATATTTCTTTCATTTCAGACAATAACAGACCGTAAAAGCATTTTGTTATTAATTTCATAACAGATTGTTCAGATATCTCCTGTTAAAATTAGTTGACTGGTTTACTGATTGATCTAGAAACGGCCGCTCTAAACTGTAATATTTAGAAACATGAAATGGGTATGGGTTATTATTATGATATGTTTTAAGGTACACTTTTCCAATATCTCTATGGCAATCAGAGATACCTCAGCATAGGTTCCGCGCGGGCAGTGTTGTGGTAGACTGCTAATTTTTACTGCTGTTGGGCACAGCAAGTACGAGAGAGGAGGACAACACTTTTTTTCAGTTTAGAAATAGTTTATGAATTTGTTACAATATTATCATGTCGTGTAGGTACGCATTTTCTGTATTATTATTATTCATTATTTAAATATTGGTGTGTATCTATTCATATTGTAATGGTTATTAGTACTATTATATAGTAAGTGACGGTAAGGTTGTATGGGGTACCTATTAGCATAATTGTTCCTTTTTTACACTGTGATATTGTGAGTTCTTCGCTTAGACGACTTTCATGATGTGATGTGTAACGGCTCCACAGTTAGTAATATACCTATCCAACCAGGTTGACCTCCATGCGGTTCTCCTGGAACCATTGTGGTTTATTCTTTTGAATCCATTATAATGGGTCCATAGAAGTCTGTGCTTTCTTTTCATCCTCACCTATTACCAGAGGGAGACTTTGTACAAAAGTCGATTGCGTGGGTACCTCTGTCCCATTTGTGTTTCAACCGTAAAGCAGTTGTGTTTGCATGGCTGTGTTTCGGTTTGAAGGGTGGGATATGGCGTGAATTTACTGGGTACAGAGGAATAACACCTGAGTCCTCAGGAATGGCAACGCATGGGGGTATCATGGGCGAAACAGTATACTCTGCTATGTTCATGATACTGCTCATGTCTATAGGCGACTGTTACCACTTTCCATCAGGTGGACCGTCAGCTTGATTGCCATTCTATAAAAAAAAAAAACTATTACTATTGGGATACCATCCCGTCATTGTATACCGATAACACACACACATAAATAACACAGATGGAGTTATCATCTTAACTTCATCCATTAAAAAAAACCTTATGATGCTCTAGGTTTGAAAAGGAGAAGCGATACGTGTATCTTAATTCATCACCTTAAGAAGTAAAGCCTACCTAGACCTTACTGAGTGCTGTAATATTATGAATTTATTTGTAATGTTATGTAAACAAATTGTCGGCAAACAAGAAGACAAACAGATAGCTAATGAAAAATAGTAAATGTTGTTTACAAACGTGAACAGCGCCAAGGAGACAGTACACACTATTTGCCATTCCTCCGTCGGTTTCTTTCAGAGATGGACTGCGAATTAGGCTCCTAGAGGCGGGCTCCCCCTCCTTGGAATGGGGTTGAGCAACGACGTTGGCGTTGTTGCGGAGTAGTAATAAACCGGAACCGCAGCAACGCTGCCGTTAGTCGTAGCCGAGGAACACGTAGTGGTTTTAGTCGGTAAGAGTCTGGCAGTATCCACATGCCTCCCCCGGGGTGTGTGGGTCTCCATGGGGATTTCCCCACGGAAAAAAAAAGGTTTAAGGTAAGGTGCTACTCTAAAATTTCATTGCCATATTTCATCCTTTAAATAAAAACATAATCATACAAGCACAGCTGTTTACTGGTATTTCATACAGAAACATGAGAAAAGGAAGATGTGAATGAAGTTGCAAAAAACAGTTAGTATTTTAATAATTTTACCAGAGGGAACTTTCTACAGAAGTCGTTTGTTTGGACACCTTTGCCCTATTCGTGTTTTTATCGTAAAACAGTTGTGATTGCATGGCTGTGTTTCGGTTTGAAGAGTGGGATAAGGCAGTGAATTTACAATGTACAGAAGAATAACAGCTGAGTCCTCAGGAATGGCAACGCATGACAGGTATCATGGGCGAAACAGTATACTTTTTTATGTCCATTGTACTGCTCATGTCTATAGGCGACCGTTACCATTTTCCATCAGGTGGGCCGCCAGTTTGTTTGCCAATCTAAGTTGCATAAAAAAAATCTTAATAATCGAATGTCGGGTAATAAAATGACGACAAGGAGACGTTCATTCTAATAATAAGCTCTTACGTAACTGTTTTAAACAAAAAAAAAAAATCAGTCATCGATAACAAAAAATATTATATTAAACAATAAAAAATGCACTGTAGTATTACAAAATAGTTTTTATTATGCGGTTTATTACAAAGAGAGACAAAACAGATCGCCATTTAGATAGATATAGAGATATTAATCCACTTGATATTTGAATAATAAGTGGGGCAAGTGCGTTATTAATATTTGAAAGATCGCATCTAGCAACCCTTCTGTGGCAACCCTGCGCGGTGGTTATGAATATCATTAAAGGTATCGAGTTCGCTCACCGAATGTTTTAATGCGCTTGTGATTCAATTTGTATTTTTAATTCTTTTATTTTTACTAATGTATTGAATATGAGAGTTTATAAAGATGTTCCGATGTTTAGATGTTTTTTTTTTCGTCATATCAGCTTTTAGTCCACTGCTGAACATACTCGTAAGTTGTTCCCTAGAGGGGTACCTACTGGCAGTAGGTGCTACTTAGCAGGTTTTTTTTTATACGACTTAGAATGGCAAACAAGCTGACGGCCCACCTGATGGAAAGTGGTAACCGTCGCCTATAGACATGAGCAGTATCATGGACATAACAGTACACACACATACTGTTTCGCCCATGATACCCCCCATGCGTTGCCATTCCTGAGGACTCAGGTGTTATTCCTCTGTACCCTGTAAATTCACGCCATATACCACTTTTCAAACCGAAACACAACCATGCAAACACAACTGCTTCACGGTAGAAACACGAATGGGACAGAGGTACCCAAGCAAACGACTTTTGTACAAAGTCTCCCTTTGGTAAGGTGGATTGGCAAACGCAGTTAGGACTTAGAGATGTTTTAAAAGGGACGCTGCTGTCCATCTCTCTACCTCCCTTAATCGCCTCTTACGATACCCACGGGAAAGGCAGGGGTGGCTTATTCTGTGTCGGTACCACACGGTACACACACAATAATACTAGCTTTTATCCGCTGCTTCATATGCGTGGATTTTGTTAAACTTACCACTATCGGGGTTCAATTGTCAAACTTTCTTCTTTATTGTTCACCTACGCTTTATAATAACCTACATATTTACAAAATTTCAAGATTCTAGATTCAGCGGTTTCGGCTGTGTGTTGATAAATGTGTTAGTTAGCCATTTACTCAGAATACTCTTTTACATATACTCTATTATCTTTTTAGTTTAGTTTTATTTTTAACTGACAAAATTTGAGAAAAACCGATTTATTCATTTATTTGTTTTATTTATCCTTTATTGTACATATTAGTAATACTTAAATATGACACAGATAAGCATATGTAAAAAGGCGAGCTTGACTCTGAAAGAGCTTTCTTCCAGCAAACTCAAAGTGGAAAGGTGCATCAATGTTAGCGGGTAGAGCGATTTTCAAACAAGAAGAATTAGACAAACTTAGTTTATACATAACTAATTATATCATATTTAATTGTATATATACACACATACATATATACATAGATATAAATATATACTTATACATACATACACATATATAAATATACATATAACTACACACACAAATAAATAAATATATATTCATAAGGATAGAAGATGCTCTTTAAGTCTATTTTAACTCATTTTCTAGAATGGCATCACATGAGGTATACCATAGGTGTAACCCTGCATTCTGTAATATCTATGGCACTGTTCATACATATTAACCATCAGACAGGCCATCAGCTTTTTATCTTTCCAAGTAGCATAAAAACACTAACTTCCGTTAATTTTTTTTAACAAATATGACAAATATACCAGAGGGAGACTTTGTACAAAAGTCAATTGCTTGGGTACCTTTGTCCCATTCGTGTTTCAACCGTGAAGCAGTTGTGTTTGCATAGCTGTGTTTCGGTTTGAAGGGTGGGATATGGCGTGAATTTACTGGGTACAGAGGAATAACACCTGAGTCCTCAGGATTGGCAACGCATGGGGGGTATCATGGGTGAAACAGTATACTCCGTTATGTCCATGGTACTGCTCATGTGTATAGGCGACGGTTACCACTTTCCATCAGGTGGACCGTCAGCTTGTTTGCCATTCTAAGTTGTATAAAAAAAGTCACTTTTTTATTTAATTATTTGGAGCGGAATTTT